TAGGGAAGAGGCTGGGGCAGCAACACAGGAAAGGCTTTCTCTGCAGATCCAAGAGAGGAAACTATCTTTGGAGCCAGAAAGAAAAGACCTTGGGATACTTTCCTCTTCCCCCAGGTCCTTTGTAGCAGCGGGCAGCTTCTTCACACTGTCTGTTCAGGAGGTCACTTAGTGGCTGGGGGGATGGGCCTTGTGGAACAGTTACAGGACAGGACACTGGAAGTCTTTGAAGGTGTTGTGGGGTGTGGCCACAAGCTCCTAGCTGGAGGAGCCCACCTCTGGGGATGTCAGGTAGGAAGGGAACTGCTCTGGCTTCAGCTGAATTTGATGATAGTTCTTGTAGATTGTTTCCATGAGAGTCTTTCTCTTGCTGTAGGATGACCAAGCCTGGGGCTCCAGGACCAGGATGCCCCTAGGATTTAGGTGCCAGTAGATCTGGCAAAACACGCACTTCAGCCCCACGTCTCTCCAGTTGAAATGCACCCACCTGTTGAGGCTGAGGCAGAGCACCACGTCTTACGTGAGTGTTTGGGCCTGCACCAGCTCATCTCGATCCAGTGCAGTTACCTGCCCTGGAGAATTCTCTGCTGAACTTAAAAAAAAAAAAAAAAAGGCACTAAAACAGGCGATGTTGTCCAACTTCCACTTCCCCCGAAATGGCCAAGTCCTGCTCCAGTTTTTATTCCCACCTTATTCTCATGTGTTTGCTCTACTCCAGTTATATATGTCTACTTTCTGTTCTATGAATAACTCAACTCTGCTGCCTCCACCTGTACCTTACCCTTCAGCTTCTCTCCTGAACATTGAATCCTACTGTAGCCTTTCAAGGTCGCTTGCTTAAATACAACCCCCTCCATGATGCCCGTCTTTAGCCCCATCAGAGGTGAAGAACTCTGAGGTCAAGGGGCCTGAATATCATAGCTCTGTCTCTTACCAGCTGGGTAACCTTGGGCAAGTCACTTAACTCAGGACTTCAGTGTTCTTATCTGTAAAACAGGGATAGTAGGACCTGCTGAGCTTCTATTTGTGAATTGACATGAAACTCAAATAAGAATATACGTAAGCACTTTGTAAAACTGTCGAGTATTATACAAATCAAAAGTTAAGAAGGTTCTGTTTAGCACAATCTGTAATGTAGATTTTGTGCTGTAAGAGTGGAGAAGAATTCTGGCTGGGAACATTCATTAAGGAGGGGGTAGTAGTGAATGGTTGGAGACTAGAGCAGTAGTTGTCAAGCATGGCTGCAGCTGGAATAACCTGAAGAACTTAAAAAAAATACTGATGCCCAGTACCACCCCCAGAACTTTTGATTTTTTGTCTCGGGTACAGCCTGGTGACTTTGGATAGCTCCCCAGGTGGTTTTAATGTGCAGCCAAGGTGAAGAACTGCTGGAGTAAAGGAACTTTCCTGGGCTCTGCTTTTGTTCCAGGTGCTTTATATAAAGTAACTCATTTGGTGAGGAGAATTCTCAGGTGGGGTTGTTTCGGTGGTTGAAGGCACAGAAACAGGAATGAACTGGGCACTTTGGAGATGCGGAGTGATTACACGAATGAACAGAGAGAGAGGTGCCGGAGATGCAGGTCTGGCCCTGATTTTGAAAGATTTTGTGCACTCTAGGCAGAGGAGCTTAAGCTCTCTCTGGGACCTTGTGAAACCAGTACAGGCTCCTGAATGGCAGCAGGGATAGGGTTGTAGTCTAAGGCTTGGAATGGTGGGGGAAAAGACCAGTGCTAGCACTGGGCATGGGAGACATTGAACAAGAAGAGGGAAGGAAGACTTTGTTGTTGCTCAGCTATTGTGGGTGAAAAGACTGTGATAATTCCAAGGAGTTTAGTCCAGGTGACTGGGAGAAAGGTGGTACCAGGACAGGTGAGGAAAAGATGAGTACCATGTACTGAAGTTTTAAGTTGATGGTGCTGACAGTGCAGGATTGGTTTTGGGGTGGGGGTGCATTCACTACTGAATTCCTGATCCTATTCTACCCCCAGGAGTTCTCTTATTATTGCTTTCCTATCCTAGGGTCGACCAATAGATAGCCTTCCCTGTGATCCTGACTTGGTGTTAATTTTTGCCTTAACCCTTCTTGTTTTTCCTCACCAGTTTGGGGGGAAGCTGGTTACCTTTGGCCTCCCCAGCACCCCTGCCCATCAGGTGCCACAGCCTTGCCTCCGCCTAGTCTTCATCTGTCAGGTCACCACAGAACCTGAATTCCTCATGCGGTCAGCTGAGCTGCAGAAGGGCCTGGGATCAGGAAATCTCCTGAATTACTGTCAGAACAAGATCTGGCAAGCATCACTGCAAAGCGAAAAGATGCTCTGGCAGTTCCTGAAAGTAGGAAGCCTGAAGCCTGGCTACTCAGAAGTGTTTCTCCAAAGTTGGGCACCCCAGCCTCTGTCAACCACCACCACATGGCCCAGATTACAGAGGCCCTAACCCCACTGGGATTTTTCCTACATGGTACCCACCCCAGGCACAAAATCTTCACCCTTTACCCGAGGCTCAGAGACCATTTATGGCTAGGGAAACTGAGGAGTACAAGTAGCATTTGCCTTTTTTCTACTGTTGCTGATGTCCTGGCTACTTTATCGGAGCCAAGGTGAAGGCTTTCACAGTGTCATGCCACAGGGCAGTTAAGGTGATGGGAGTGGAGAAGAAAGAAAGGGAAAGGAAGGGAAGAGGGTCAGCTGGAAGGCTTTGAGTTGTTTCAGGTAACCCAAGGCAGGTTATTGTGGTGGGACTCAGGGCTCAAGTCCCACTCTACTCTGGAGGCATGGTTTCAGTTGCAGCATCAGTTTAATTTCAGGTTGCTTATGACACCATGATGAGTGCTTTATGTGTCAAAGGAAGTGAGCATGTGAGAGGAGAGAGCTGAAGAAAGAAAGAAATAACTGGACAGGCAGTGAGAGGATTAGTCATATCTTTGGGATTATAGAGTAGAATGCAAAAAGAAGGACAGGGCCTGTCCTGGGGGGTCTGAGAAGAGCTTGGAGTCTGTGCTTCAGATATACTAGAACTTTTTGCTTTGTTTTGTTTTTGCAGTATGCGGGCCTCTCACTGTTGTGGCCTCTCCCGTTGCGGAGCACAGGCTCTGGACGCGCAGGCTCAGCGGCCATGGCTCACGGGCCCAGCCGCTCCGTGGCATGTGGGATCTTCCTGGACCGGGGCACGAATCCACGTCCGCTGCATCGGCAGGCGTACTCTCAACCACTGCACCACCAGGGAAGCCCTATACTAGAACTTTATGAAGGTCCATACCAGGAATCTGAGAAGGAGAAAAGGATCTGAGGAAGATCATCAACCATAGAATGAAGCTAGAAAGAGATGTGGGAAGAAAATAGTAAGAAATAATGCTATTGTAGGGCTTCCCTGGTGGCGCAGTGGTTAGGAATCCGCCTGCCAATGCAGGGGACACGGGTTCGAGCCCTCGTCCGGGAGGATCCCACATGCCGCGGAGCAACTAGGCCCATGCGCCACAACCACTGAGCCTGTGCTCTAGAGCCCGTGAGCCACAACTACTGAGCCCTCATGCCACAACTAATGAAGCCCACGTACCTAGAGCCCGTGCTCCACAACAAGAACGGCCACCACAGTGAGAAGCCTGTGCACCGCAACGAAGAGTAGCCCCCACTCGCCGCAACTAGAGAAACCCCATGCACAGCAACAAAGACCCAACGCAGCTGAAGATAATAAATAAAGAAAGAAAGAAAGAAAGAAATAATGCTATTGTTATAAGCAGGATACAGGTAGTAGCTCCAGGAATGGTGGGGTGGGAAAGAGGAGAGGGAATAATTGGGAGTTCAGCCTTTACTCTGCTGAACAAAGGAGGCATTGGTGCCCATAGGGCAGAGGGGAATCTGATTTAAAAACTACGCAAGAGCTGTCCATGATGATGGTCCTGAAGCTGAGTATGGATGAACATTTCCAGGAGAAGATAGAAGAAGAAGGGGGCCCTGAGAGACTATGAGAAAGATCATAGTAAAAATTCATGGTTCAGTGTGGGATAAATGAAGGGCCCAGGCCAGCTAACCCATTAGGGTAGGGCTTCAGGAAGCCTTGGCCCTTAGTATCTGGAACACTGAGTGGGTAAACTGACTTCGTTTACTATATCCGTGCAACTTCCACTGAGGAGTCTTCTCACCTAGCCGTTTAGACTCATAAGACTACTGAAGGCTCACTTGGCATCAGTCTCCTCAGAAGGATAGAGGACAGGAACCAAGCAGGGCAGCATCAGGGAGCATCAGGTGGTTCTCTTCTGTGGGAGTCCTTGTTACAGTCCATGAGGCAGCTTAGAGTTCTCTCCTTCAGCTCCCCAGGTGCAAGAAGATGAGATATATATCAGGCTGGTGTGCTAGCTGCCCTGGCTTGGAAGCTCCAGGCCCACAAGAGCCAATATCTCTTGTACAAACTCCAAAAGCGTAGCTTCTAGGGTCCCTGCAAGGGATCTGTTTAGTACAGGAGTCCTTGCTATCAGGGAAGCCCATAGCATGGTGTCCACCCCAATTATTTATAGTTTACATAGTTCTGGTCCAGATGCAATTTACCAGTCACAAGCTGTGTTGCCTAGAAACATAGCTGACATTTTTATCAGGTTACCAGGGCAATAGATCTAGGAAGTCAACTGAAGGTCAAGTTCTCATTGCAGAAGGGGGAAAGGGTTTGTTAACACATCTGCCCACACCCCAACAGGAATCAAGTCTGGGGAGAAATAGGGAGAGATGATGTTGGCCTCAGTGAGCACTTCTGGTAGTACAAAGAACTACATTTGAGGGTACACTGGCACAGATGTCCAGCTGGTGCAGGAGAGCGTCTTTCACATTCATTTAATGGAGACTTCTGTGTTCTGTGGCTCCTTAGGTGACCTTAGAGAAGGACTCCAGAATGAAATTCCTAAAACTATTAGGATACAATAAAGATGAATTTCAGAAGAAGGTAAGCTGCTTTCACATCAGAAATGTGCTTGATGCAGAAAAGAGAATCCTGCCAGTGGAAACCATCTCAGAATACCTCTTCCATTAATACATATATGAGCATTTTACCTCCTGAAGGTAGTCCCTTTCCCAGGAAAATACCTCAAGGATCTTAGCGAGTCCAGTTGGTGGGGTATGGAGGTGGGAAGAAAGCATAATGCTTATTTGACCTCGTGCTGGGAAGAGTGGTACTCATAAGTCTCTCCCTCCAGGTGGCCACATGGTTGAAGAGTGATTTGGGGCTGGGTGAGAGCCCTCAGCCCAAGGGGGTTGACCTCAACAGTAACAGACAACAGGCCTTTTGCATCCAGGTGCGGTAGGAGCACAGCCAGCCTAACCTAGGGTAGCATAGAAGATCTGCCTTTAGGGTATCTTCCCCTTCCTAGCCCTAAGCTTTGCTCTCAGTAAGTGCTCAGCTTCTGTGGAAGTCTTCAAACTCCTCATTCATTTAAAACCAGAGTGAGACACAGAGACCTAAGCTTTTAGGCTAGGGGTAGAGTTGTGTTTTAACCATGAAGTAGAGCACTTCCCAAACCATACCTGCTTATTCTTTTAACTTTACCCATTAAGGGCCACTCTTTTTTTTTTTAAATTAAAATATAGTTGATTTACAATGTTGTGTTAATTTCTGCTGTATAACAAAGTGATTCATATATACATGCATTCTTTTTTATATTCTTTCCCAGTATGGTTTATTACAGAATACTGAATATAGTTCCCTGTGCTATACAGTAGGACCTTGTTGTTTATCCATTCTATATGTACTAGTTTGCATCAGCTAATCCCAAACTCCCACTCCATCCCTCCCCACCCTTCTCCTTGGCAACCACAAGTCTGTTCTCTATGTCTGTGAGTCTGTTTCTGTTTTGTATTGATAAGTTCATTTGTGTCATATTTTAGATTCCACATATAAGTGATATCATATGGTATTTGTCTTTCTCTTTCTGACTTACTTCACTTAGTATGATCATTTCTAGGTCCATCCATGTTACTGCAAATGGCATTATTTCATTTTTTATGGCTGAGTAGTATTCCACTGTATATATGTACCACATCTTCCTTATCCATTCACCTGTGGGTGGACATTTAGGTTGTTTCCACGTCTTGGCTATTGTGAGTAGTGCTGCTGTGAACATAGGGGTGCATGTATCTTTTTGAATTATAGTTTTGTCTGGATATATGCCCAGGAGTGGAATTGCTGGATCATGTGGCAACTCTTATTTTTAGTTTTTTGAGGAACCTCCATACCGTTTTCCACAGTGGCTGCACCAGCTTACATTCCTGCCAAGAGTGTAGGAGGGTTCCCTTTTCTCCACACCCTCTCCAGCATTTGTTATTTGTAGACTTTTTTAAAAAAATAAATTTATTTTATTTATTTATTTGTGGCTGTGTTGGGTCTCTGTTGCGGCGCGCGGGCTTTCTCTAGTTGCAGCGAGCGGGGACTACTCCCACACTGAGGGAGGAGACAGAGGAGCGGCCTGAACTCTGGGAGGTCAAGCCATGTTGTCAGGGACTAGAGTGCATCCCTCTACGTTTAGTAGAGGGCATTTATGATCCTCTTTTACTTTTTCTTGTCACATCTCAGTGCAAGAGCTTTGCCCTTCACTGCAGAGCAGGATTAACCTCACTGTTGTCTTAAAGCCACTGAAGCTACTTGTTCCATAGCTCATGGTCCCCCACCTGTTGTCAAGCAGGAGGAGGAGGAGCACAGGGAAGCTGTGCCATTTAAGAAGTTTCTGTCTCTCTACAGACATGCTGGGAACTCACTTGGAGCAGGAGGGTGGCAGGGCACTAACTTCTGAAGCCAGACTCTGTTACGTGTGCTCAGGAAGTGTGGAGCGGCTGGTAGAGTGCTGGGCAAAATGCCCCCGGGCTTCATCCCCCATGGCTCTACAGGTACCCCTTCTCTGCAGGGCCCTGGTCCCCCACATCAGGCCTTTAGGAGGGGCTAGCAGTGGAGATTGCAGGGACATCAGAGGTGAGTCTTCTGAGTAACCAGGCTGGAATCAGGGTATTAGGGAAGAGATTAGGGCCCCTAAAGTCTGGGACCTTTTCCATGGATAAGCTATCATCTTCCTTCTTTCTCAGTCAAGGGAGACTGAGCAGCAGCTGCTTAGATATTAACCGTCGTAATTTTTCCCCACTTCAGGTTTGGGTGTATAAGTTTACATGATATTTGAGTAATTGTGAGCTTGGGCCTTCTATTAGCTTCTGTGAAAAGTTCTGTATCTAAATTGTACCAGATACTCTGTGGGTACCCAGAGAAGGTGGGGGTCACAGACTCATGCGGAGACAAAGTCACACATGAAATAAGAGTATAACAGAATCTGAAGTTGATGATGTATTAGCATAAAAGATAAAAAATCCAAAAAGAAGAGGCAGAAATGTATAAGAGTGTAAGACTCAAACGGCTTGGGAAGTGAAGCCAAGTGGCCTTTCTCTGACTGTCATGTCTCTTATATATCATATATCATCACCTGCTGCCTGCACCCGGCTATGGCCAGGTGCCCTCACACCCATAGCAGGGAAGTCCTTGGTTGAGCTGCCTGGGCTTGGAGAGCAGGATGTGCTTTGAAGAGGGCTGACTGCCCTTATCCTTGTCCCTATAGGACCTGATGGAGAAGGTGATGGTCCTTAACAGGAGCTTGAAGCTACTGTGGGGTGCTGATGGGGTGAGCCCAGGCCCTGCCACAACCTACAGAATCGCTCAGTATGCCAACCTCCTGGCAGCCCAGGGCAGCCTGGTCACTGCCATGAGCTACCTACCCAGTGACAGTGCTCAGGTGAGTGGGGGCATGTGGAGAGAGCAAACCATTTCATTTAGTCATCTAACACTGGCTGAGCACTTCCATGTTCCAGGCACTATGCTAAATGCTGAAGCTCCCAGGATAAATAAGATCTAGTCCCTCAGGAGGTTCACAGTGTCTTGGGGGAAAATCAGATGTCAATAATTTATCCTGCTATAACAGAAGCTTATACTAAGCACTGTGGGACTTCACAGGCAAGGGGCTGGCTTTGTCTGGAGAAGTCAAAGAAGGCTTCCCAGTGGTTAAAACATTTGAGCTGGACCTTCAAAGAGAAATAGCTTACCAGATGTCAGGCATTCTAGGCAGAAAGAACAGCAAGAAGGAAGGCTTGGCAGGAATTAGAGCCCTTTTGAGTCCTCTAAGGTGGCTGAAATGTAGAGGGTCGGCTGAAGTTTGAATGCTATGTGGAGCCAGGCTTGTAAGAGGGGTTGTTTGCTTGTTTTAACTTTACTTAACACAGTTCTTCATGATTATAACTTTTATAGCCACCAATTCAGCAGCTGTGAGATTGGCTTTTTCATGCCCAGGGTTCTGGTGTCTTGGGCCAGCAGTCTCCCCCTTTCCCCTTTCCCCGGGTTATTGTGGGAGCTGCTCCCCACTCTCAAGAGACATCATCTCCCAGACTGGGATTCCACTCTTCTCACCAGGTAAGATCTTGCTTGTTCATTCATTCAAAAATACCTGTTAAGTGTCTACCAAGTGACAGGCATGATTTTAGGCACTTGGAATATATTAGTGAAAAAAATGATGAAAATTCCTGTCTTCATAAAGTATAGATTCAGTTATTTTTCTAATAACTGTTTATTGAACAACTACTAGGCACTTAAAACAGAAAGGTATACAAACCATGATCCTTGCCCTTAATTAGCTCATAGTCTAGTCTAGGAAAGATAGGTAAAAATTAACTACAGTAAAATTCATAAATACCATGATTGGGATATGATTAAAGATTAAAGAGCCATGAGATCACACAGAAGAAAGCGATTTACTGGGGGGATGGGGGAAGTTCAGGGAATGTTTCAGAACGAGTATGATGTTTGATCTGAGTCTTGAAGGTTAAAAGTTATTTAGGCAAAGGAAGAGGTAAGGAGGGCTATTTCAGGCAGAGGGAATGGCATCTAAAAGGCAGTGAAGGGAAAGTAAGCAGAGCCCATTTGAGGAATGACTAACATTTTAATGGGGCTACAAAACAGGTGTTTGTGGCAGTGGACTGAGTTAGATGAAGCTGGAGTAACAAGTGGTAGTTAGATCAGGAGAGACCTGGCATTCTGTGTTCAAGAGTTTAGACTTGAGGGACTTCCCTGGTGGCGCAGTGGTTAAGAATCCTCCTGCCAATGCAGGTGACACGGGTTCGAGCCCTGGTCCGGGAAGATCCTACATGCCACAGAGCAACTAAGCCCATGCGCCACAACTACTGAGCCCACGTGCCACAACTGCTGAAGCCCACGCACCTAGAGCACGTGCTCCGCAACAAGAGAAGCCACTGCAGTGAGAAGCCTATGCACTGCAATGAAGAGTAGCCCCTGGCTCTCCGCAACTAGAGAAAGCCGGCGCACAGCAACGAAGACCTGACACAGCCATTAATTAATTAATTAATTTAAAAAAGAGTTTAGACTTGACCCTGAAGGCAGGCAGGAGCTATTGAATGGTCTTATGCAGGGGAAGGACTAGCTATGTGTCTAGGAAGGGCAAGGCTAGAGGTGGTTAGGAAGCTATAGCAAGAGATAATGAGGGAATGAAAGACCTGAAACTAGAGAGTGAGGTTAGATTTGAGATATTTACTAGGTAGAATTGACAGAAACTGGTGATGGTTAAGAGGAGTGTGCTAAATGGGGGGACTGACCGCAGTGCCCAGATGGATAGGATGCTGTTAATTTATGAGACCAGGAGCCTACTAGAGGGGAATAAAATCCAGGGAGATTGTAGATAAAGGTATCAGGTAGAAAAGTTCTGATGCTTCATCCTGTTCCACCTTTAATTCCCACCCTAATTTTCTTTCCTCCCTCACCTTCTTCCTCCCTCCTCCTTCTCCTTCCCTACTTGCTGGCTCTCCCTCCCTCCCCTCTCCCTTTCCTCTCTCTCTTTTCTATAATTACAGATTCACAGGAAGATACAATGAAATGTATTGGGAAGTCTCATACATCTCAAGCCCACCACATCCCATGCCAGTGTCCCACACAACCACAATACAATATCAAGGCTGAGATATTGACAGTAGTATAATCCACAGATTCAGATTTCACTGGTTTTACATGTACTCATTTGTGTGTGTGGTGTGTGTAACCATGTAAGAATTTTACTTTTCATCTTTTTAACAGAGTCCTTCACAGAGCAAAAAAATTTAATTTTATAAGGGCCAGTTTATGAAGTTTTCCTTCTATGAATCATGCTTTTCATGTGAAGTCTCAGAGCTCTTAGCCTAGTCCAAGGTCCCCCAAATTTACTACTGTGTTTTTTCTAGAAGTTTCATAGTTTTATGTTTTACATTTAAGTCCATGTTCCACTTTGAGTTAATTTTTGTGCAAGTGTGAAGTTTGGGTCAGGTTTCTTTTTTTTTTTTTTGCCAATGGATGTCCAGAATCATTTATTGAAAAGGCTGTTCCTCTTCCATTGAATTGATTTTGCTCCTTTGTCAAAAATTAGTCAGACATATTCGTATGGACTTATTTCTCAGTTCCCTGTTCTGTTCCACTGATCTGTGTGTCTGTCCTTCTGCCAGTACCACTCTGTCTTGATTACTACCTCTGTATCAGTAAGTCTTGACATGGGGATTAGTAATTCCTCCTACTTTATTTTTCTGTTTCAAAATTGCTTTGGATATTCTAGAGCCGTGTTCTTTTCAAATAAATTTTAGAGTAAGTTTGCCTATGTCTAAAAAGAAACTTGCAGAAATGGACAGGAATTGCATTAAAACTATAGATTAATGTAGGGATAGTTGACATCTTTACTATATTGAGTCTTCCCGTTCATGAACATGGTATGTCTCTCCAATACTGTCTCCATCAGCACTTTATAATTTTCATCATACAGCTCCTGACATGTTCATTTCAAACATAAGTATTTAATTTTCTCTTGAGCAATTTGAAATCAAATGGTATTGCATTTTTAATTTTGGTTTCCACTTGTTTATTGTCAGTGTATAGAAATGTAATTGGTTTTTATGTGTTAATCTTGTATCACGTGACTTTTCAATGCTCATAAATGAGATTCCTGAACTCATTTATTTGCTTTAGGAGTGTTTTGTGGATTCCTTGGGAATTTCTATGTAGATAGTTATGTCATCTGTGAATAGAGACAGTTTTATTTCTTTTTTTCCAAATTGTATGCCTTTAATTTCTCTTGCGTTATTGTAGTACTAAAATAAGAATGTTGTTTCCAGTCTTAGAGGGAAAACATTCAGTCTTTCACCACTAAATATGATGGTAGCTCTAGGTTTTTTGTAGATGCTCTTTATGAGGCTAAGGAAGTTTTTCCATCTATTCCTGGGGTACTGAATCATGAATCAGTGTTGAACTTTGTCACGTTTTTTCTGCATCATTTTATATGATCAAATGATTTTCCTTCTTTAACCTGTTGATATGGTGGATTACATTGATTGATTTTTAAATATATCATGATATACATTGCATGACCTGGGGTAAATCTCATTTGGTTGTGGTATATTATTTTTATATACATTGTTGGATTTCATTTGCTAAAATTTTGCTGAGGATTTTTGTGTCTAAGTTTATGAGAAATATTGGTCTGTAGTTTTATTTTGTAGTGTTGGTATCAGGGTAGTACTGACCTCATAAAGTGAGTTAGGAAATGTCCCTTCTTCTATATTCTGGAAGAGATTATGTAAACTTTGTGTTAATTCTCTGAATGTTTGGTAAAATTCTCCAGTGAAACTATCTAGGCCTCGAGATTTTTTTTGGTGGGGGGGAGCTTTTTAATTACAAATTTAATTCCTTTATTAGTTATAGAAATATTCAGGTTTTCTATTTAATTTTGGCTGAGTTTTGGTAGTTTGTGGTTCTTGGGGAATTGGTCCGTTTTTTCTAAGTTGTCAAGTTTATGAATGTAAAGTTATTTGTAGTATTCCTTATTATCTCTTTAATGGCTGCAGGGTCTGTTTTAATGTTCCCTGCTTCATCCTTGATCTTGATGAATTGTGTCTTCTCTCTTTATCTTTGTCAGTCTTTATAAAGGTTTATCAGTTTTGTTGATTTTTTTTTTTTTTTTTTTTTTTTTTTTTTTTTGCGGTACGCGGGCCTCTCACTGTTGTGGCCTCTTCCGTTGCGGAGCACAGGCTCCGGATGCCCAGGCTCAGCAGCCATGGCTCACGGGCCTAGCCGCTCCGCAGCATGTGGCATCTTCCCAGACTGGGGCACGAACCCGTGTCCCCTGCATCGGCAGGTGGACTCTCAACCACTGCGCCACCAGGGAAGCCATTGTTGTTTTTTTTTAAGAATTAGTATTTTGTTTCATTTTCTTTGTTGTTTTTCTGTTTTCAATTACTTACCTTTCTTTTCCTTTCCAAGTGCTGACCCTTTTTTCTCTTCTATCAGGTTCCATCTCCATCTCCAAGGCCAAGGATTTTTATACCTCCATCATCACTTGTGATGCCCTTGACACCTTCCCGTCCTAGCCCTTATCAGGGCTCCAGAATGCAGAATACAAGTGACTACAGGCCATCTGGGTTCCAGGAAGCCTAGTCTTTGCCTGTGGTCCCTGGGGTAAGGCCTGGTGAGTGACTGAGTGGAGACCTGTCTAGGCAGAGCACAGAGGAAAACATCTGGCATGGCCAGAATGGATTTGGGAGGCAGTATGTCTATCTAGTGAGAGGAGCTTAGAGTTTGAAGTCTGAATTCTCAGTACTGTCAGTTACTGGCTTTGTACCTGTGGGCAATATACATAGCCACTTTGTTTCTTTTGAAAATTGAGAGTGGTTGTTATGTTGGTCATTTCAACCCCACAGGGTTGTTCTGAGGGTCAAATAAGGAATATAGTTAAAAGTACTTTGTAAATGGTAGATCTCCATACACATGTATTAGTTATTTATTATTATTATAGTTTTTTTAAATTGCTGCTTTATTCCTCTCTGATGTGCTCTGAGTCTCCCCCAAATTGAAATTTGGTGGCAAATGACCTGTTTCTATCCCATTTCAGCTTTATCTCAGCCGCGGCTGTCAGGAGGGCAAAGGGTGCAAGCTCCTAACCCTGTGGGATTCCCTGGCACATGGCCTCTTCCTGGTCCACCCACGGCACCCCCAGACATTATGCAGGCTGGTTCTGCCTCCCTGCCTGAGACTCCTCGATGGCTCCCTCTGCTTCCTGTGAGAGCACCAGGCTTCAACCCTATAAGCTCCCAGCCGCCAGCCCCTCCTGTCACCTCTGCAGCACACCCTCCAGGAGGGCCAGGTGCTCCATGTGCCGATACTTTCCCAACCACTGGCATCTTGACTCCTAAGCCAGGTCAGTCTTCTCCCATGGCCTCCCTCTCCTCCCCTCCCCACTACCACCTTGGGAGTCTCTTTCCTCAAGCCAGTGAACTGGGGCTGGAGAATGTCAACTCAGAGTGTGGCTGGTCTGTGGAGGGAGGTGTGGCAGACTCCAACTAAAGTAATTTTCCTGGTCTTCAGACCAAAAATTACAGTGTTTTTGATCTTGCCCCTAAAATACCTCTATATTTATACTATTCAGGATCTCAGGATTCCTTGGAAAATGCTCCAGTGCCCAGGGGAAACCTCCAGAGGAAAGAGGTCAACACATCTCCCCCCACTCAACCCCTTATACATTCACCGATGACCCACACTCTAGTTCCGTACAGAAAGCAGCCTGGTCCTTCCCGTTCTGCTTTCCCCACGCACTCTTCTCCCCTCAGCTCCCTCCTCTTTCCTTCTTATACACATTCACCATCTTCTCACTTCCAGGTTCCCCACGCACTATTCTGTGCCCTCGTTCATTCATAATTTCTGCCACTCCCTCAAAGTAGGGCCGAAGGAGTCTTTCAGCTTAGACTCACGTGCCTTTCTTTTCTCTCTCTTTAGTTGCCAGAGACATTCATGCCCCCAGCACCAATTACTGCTCCAGTTATGTGCCTCACCCCTGAGCCACGAGGGGTCCTTTCCTCACAGCCTACTGTCCCCAGTGTGAGTCATGCTCCCCCTGGAGCCCCAGGAGAACTTAGCCTGTAGGTGACAGGAATGATGTGTTTCCCTCCTCTTGGAAACCTTCTTTTATTGGGTATAGAAAAGCAGGGAGCACGGTAGATGGCTTCATTCCTCAAGTTGGAGGCAGACTCTGGGCTGAAGGAGATGGGGCGGGGGGCAGATACCAAGTGTCTCTACTGCAGACAAGGGAGGATGCCCCTCCTCAGCTCTGCTCTGCTCTAGTGGGAGCAGTGTGACCCCCAAGTCACTGAGGACTAGTCCTGAGGGGAGCCATGAGCAGGACAGCTTGCTTCTCTCTCCTGTGTCCCTGCTCCCTGCTCAGCAACTTTAGCGGCCACCTGCGAAGATGGACAGGAAGGAGCTGCCCCCTGAACATCAGTCCTTGAATATCAGCTTTGAGGTGCTTCTGCAGCGCTGCTCCCTGTCTGCCACTGACATAGTGAGTCTGAACCTTCCCCATGATGCTCCCCTCCTACCCTAGCTGGTCCCAGGACCCCTTAGCTGTAGACCAGTTTCTTATGTGACTCTTCTTACTGTCCCTGGACATGCTGCCTGTATCTTATACTTGTTTGATGTCCATGTGGAGTTGGGGAGGACTTGTCTGGTCTGGAGGTTATCTCCTTGGCAGCAAGACCAAACAGCACTGAGACTTAGATCTTGGAAAGGCCGCAGGGAGTACTGCAAGGAGGGTGAGACCAGGAGTGAGGAGACCTGCCATTCATTCCTGGCTGCATCAGCTTGAGCAAGTCACTTGGCCTCTTCAGGTCTCCTTTTTGTCCTCCGTGAAATGAAAGAGCATTAAGCCATTCTAGCTCTAAGGTACCGTGATTCTTTATGGTTCTGTGTAGTGTTAGGCATAGTAGCTGGAATTAGAATCCATTTCCTTCCCTGCAGAAGACAAAACAGAAGCTGGATGAAGCAGCCCAACGTCTAGAATGTCTATATGAGAAGCTCTGCAAAGGGACACTAAGTACAGGCAGTGGTGCTCCTCTGCCTCCTGCTCTTCCACCTTCACCCATGGCCTAAGGGTGCCCAGTGTCCCTTCCTATGGGCCTGACCGAACCTGGGTTCCTTACAGAGTGTAGACATCTTGCCTGGACTGGGCTCTAGAACTTAAGTCCTCTCTTCTCCCTTCCATGCCTCCAGGGTAGGGGCGGGGTTGGGCTTACTGACTGCGCAGTAATCCTTCCACAGCTCTCGCCTCCTATCCTGGCTGGGCTCCACGAGGTTGCCCGATGTGTGGGCGCAGGACGCTTTGAGCGGGGCCTCGCTGTGCATGCTCAGGTGATGAGCTGCAGCAGCTTCAGCGAGGTCTCCAGCTTCATGCCTGTCCTGAAGTCCGTCCTCACCATCGCTCATAAGCTACACATCTAGACCAGGCAGCTCCTCTTGCCAGGAGGCCACTTCTGCTGTTACTTAACTCCTTCCTGCAGGAAAGGGGAATTTTGGAATAGATTCCGTTTGTTTTTCCTAGCCCTCTTCCCTTGCTGCCAGGTATATGATGCTGTAGGCTTGGCTCCAAACAGGCAGAGTGCCTGCTCTCCACCCCTTTATGCGTGGCCCTCTGGGATCTGCGCAGGGCTCTCTCAACCTCTTCTTCACTTTCCCTAAAACTGTACTCCAACAGGGCCTGGCGCAATGTGTCTTCTCCCCCAGGGATATTCTAAGTGGCTTCTGAGAGGATGAGCAGGATCGTTACTTCCAAGTCTACCTCGACTGTACCCGTCTTGTGGGTCTTTTGTCTTTCCCCTTCTGTGGGTTATGAGCCTGACTTTACCTTTTCCTTGCCTCTGACTTCATATTTCCAGGTTCATACTTCTCTGAGCCACAGAGGCTGGGGTAGAGTTGACTGCTGTTCACCCTTTGAACAAGTCATACACATGAGGGATGGGTGCTGAGCACAACGAAGAGAAGGAACTCAGACCCTTTTAAGAAGGGACCTCTCAACTGCCAGCATTGTTAAGGGTGGGCTAGGTGAGGTGGAGGGTGGATGGGATACCTTTTGCTGAGAGCTGTCTTAGGCTATGGGATAGGAGCAGAGGGACCACTACCTGTGTGAAGTGGCCCCTGACTCAGCCTGCCTGATCCCTTGCCCAAGGCCTAGACCACTCATTCTGTGATTAGAAGCCAGGTTCTGGAATAGGAGCCATATTAATGAAAGAGTCTTCTAGCACTGTTCTTCAAGGCTTGGAGGCCCTCTTCCCCCAGCCCCACACTTCTCAGGGCTGCCTTCTCTGGCTGCGCTTTCATGGTTGGACTCTGCATTTGAAGCACTGATGTACTTTATGTGCAATAAAGCTGCTTTAGTTTGGTTTCCTCTGTCATCTCCCAATTATTATCTCCTCTAGGTCCTATTTTGCTCTTATCTGTCTTCCCAGTCCTTTTTGTTCTTGTTCCCTATACCCTAATAAGGCAGGGGAGAGGCTTAGGGACAGATAGGAAGTCAGGAGAGTTGAAGAAAGGAGGTGGCACTGAATTAGGCTCTCCTTGCAGCATTTATGGTCACTCTGCTCTGTGTGTGTATGTGTGTGTGTGTGTGTGTGTGTGTGTGTGTGTGTGTCTCCATTCGTGCCTGACATTCAGCTCCAGGGTCTTCCCCACACCACTTCAGGGCTGAGCTCAGCTACACAAAAGGGGCTGGGTGTGAAGCCAGGGGTACGATCTCTAATCCTGTTGTAGATCGCATCATGTCTGCGGGCTAGATGTGTGTGTTTGGGAGGAAAGGATTGTTAGGCAGTATTTGTTTGTAAAGCCACTTGCTCTTCAGATAATACTTGCACTAACTTCTATTGATGAAGCAGTGTGAGCCCCAGCAAAGTCCTTTCCCAAAGTGTCTTTGAAGCCAAGAGCCCATTGAAGGGAAGAAAGGCCGGGAGAGGGGATTAGTTTGTTCAGCAGCTGTGAATTTCAGTGGGAGGTTGATGAACTCTGAAGTCTTTGTTTAAATTAAAGGTGGGGAGAAAAAAGCCGCTGCTGGAGCGAGAGCCTCACTTGGGGCCCTGAACTAACACAAGGAGAAGTCTGAGCTGCGGGGAGCTGTGTACTGACTGCGAAGACTTTTCCCAAACACTTTTCGGGAAAGGTGTTATGAGAAGAGAAGGGGGCGGAGTGGGGGATTAGCATGTGAAATGAAGTTTTCATTGACTCCGTGGGGGTAGAAGGCTATTTTAATGGCATTTTGTTCTCTTATTTTCTCTTCTTGAGCTCTTTAGAGATATTGTTTTGCTAAGGCAGGCTTTCTTCCCCCTTCTTTCCAGTCTGCGGATTGCCTCTATGGGAGCCAACATAAATATTTCTCCTCCAGGAATGCGGGTTAATTAAAAGGAAATGAATGAGTGGAAGCATCCAATCCAGACCCACAATAGGCGAGTGCCCTGGCCTGCCCTTCCCTCCCACCACCACCAGCAACGCCAGCGCTGAGCACGACCCTGTCTCTGTCTTTGCCCTAACCTGCTGCTAAGGCCAGTTGAGGCTGCGATTCTTTTCAAGAAAAGAAAGCCCTGCCTGTGTGTAGGCTCACAGGCTAGGGACAGGAAGGAGACTGTGTTTTGTCCCCTCCACCCAGCGTCCTTGTCACTTCTCAGGACCTCCCTCTGCTTCTGTCCCCTGGCTGAGACAGATGGACTCCTAAAGAGCACACAAGAGGAGGGAAGGGGCCTGGGTTCCAGGATTCACCCCACGGTACCTTACTAGTTGGTGGAACAAGCCACACATCTTTCTCAGCATCAGTTTAAATCTGTAGAACAGAAGGTTTCACTAGCTGACCTCGAAGGTGTCTTCCCAAGCAACCGGTCTGGTTGTCCACATTTATAAAGGGGAACACAGCACTGGTGATTGATTATAAGAGAGAACATACACTCCATGAATGCAGAAGGTCAGTGTGTTGTTCACCACTGTATTTCCACTCTGGTGTTCATTGAATGAATAAATGAATGAATAGATAACGCAAGATGGGGAAAAAAAGCAATCCAGATCTAAGGTAGCTCAGTATTGTTTTCTTTATAGATGCAAATGAAATGTGGTATCAATCATATCCATTTGGGAATACAAAACAATAACGTATGAAGGAACTTTCTGGCAGCATGACATGTTTCAAGTACTGACCTGGAGTTATCAAATGTGGAGCACAATAGTTCTCCTACTTGTATGCTGAGAGACCTCCTGGAGAATGTCGCTTTCCTTTACAACATTGTACTTTTATATTTTCTAGCTGCCTTGCCAGATTTTCTTACTGTATACTATCAAGTGATTCTGCCAAGTGAGACAGCCAAGTTACTACATGCTGCTGCTTCATTAGGGACGAAGAGTGAGTTGGGAGATTCAAGAGGCCCAGATCAAAGCTGAGGGAAGGAGCAAAAGGCCTTTTGCTGATGAAACTGGAAATGAAGCACTAGGAGACCCTGAAGGGAAGCATGTCCCCTGTAAGGAGGGAAGGGGACCTCTCTCCTCAGTAAGTGTTAGTGGGACCAGAAGATGTGTAGGGATGAGGCCAGGGATTTGAGGTCTGACCTGGCCATTGTGTCAATTTGGAATATGGGAGCCTTTCCACTGTCACTGGTCGGCCTTTAGAGCCTCCACCCATTTTACCCACTTGGAGCCACTCCTCCTCTGTGCTTTCTCCTGCTCTACAAGAGGTGAGATGAAGTTGTCTAGCATTTGACCAGTTCTGCTTCGGAAGGGCTGTGGGGCTACCTGGTGCCTATGACCCAGGACCAGCCTAGGGGAAGGGGGATGACTGGCAAGCTCCTTGGGCTGCAGAGGGTCTGTCAGGGATTAGTTCTTCCCTTCCCAGAGCCCTATTTCACCAAGTCCCTCTTGTACTACTGCTTTCTGAGAAGAGAACCAGAAGACTCAAGCACAACCAGCAGCAAGGTCTTAGCTATTCAGTGAATGTATTAGTGGAAGATTTATGGGGATGATTTACTAATCCTTGGCAGATTAACCTCTGTCAGGTCAGGATAACTACTTAGGCCATCAGGGAAGTGAGGCTTACAGGAGGATAGTATCCTGGCAAGGTGGGAGGGAAGAGAGGACCTAGAGGTTATATCTTATACATGCTCTTCCCCATATCCCCAAGAATAAGTTCAGTACCTGAAAAAAAGGCACATGTCACAGTGACTGCAATAAATTAAGGTTCAAGGTGCTGAACTTCCTATTAACAGTTTCATTACAGGAAGTTTATGTATTGAAGGAAAGTATCCAGTGCCTGAATCCTGCCTGTTTGAGAACCAGGTTAGTGAAAAGGAAGGGTCCCAGCTTCTCCTTCCTCATGACCTGTCTTCAGAGGTGCAAACCAGGGTCTGAATGGGAAATTAGCTTTATTTATCTCAGTCTTGGCTCAGGGGAATAAGATCCTTTGGGGAAAGAGAAGAGGTAAAGTTGGTTGCTAGGAGGCTATAGGTTAGGAGCAGGGAGGAGGTTACTTTAAAGGGTAGGAAATGACTGGCAGTCTGCCCTTACATCATTCCTAGATGTCGTGGGTATGTGTCTGGAGCACCTTGGGTGATTGTCTAGGAAGGTCATTGCCCCACTGGCAAAGTCCATTAGAGACATGGTATCACAAGGATGAGTGGCACCCTTGGTTTTCAGCAAGTGAGCATTCTAGGGTTCCCATTTCCTCCATCTTCAACCCCTGCCTCTAGGAACCAGCCTCCAAAGACATGCTTTTTCCTGGGTCAGTTTCCTCAGTATCCCTTCAGGGAAGGAAGGAAGGAAAAGGGGGAGAGAAAGCAGAGATTCCTGGGGAGTCTATGCCAGCAGTTAGGGAATCAGAAGCACAGGAGGGCCTCTGCAGAAGGAAGATGTGGCTATGGCAGAGAGCTGGCAGCAGAAAATTGAGGGGTATGGGGGGAGGGGGGAAGACGGGTAAAAGAAAAAAGCCGTGTTTTCCCTGGGCCCTGCCTATCACGGAAGGGCTCTTCCAGTTCCTAAGCTCTCCACAGGCTAGTCCAGGCGTTAGGGCAGGTGGGACCGGGAGAAGGAACGCCTATTCTCTTTCTACTCCAAGGAAGATCAATAGCTCAGAATCTCAGGTTTCTCAGACCTAAGTGGTGAGCGGACGATGCAGACAGCGTGAGGAGAGAGCAGAGGAATTGTGGAAACAGGTTGGGAAGTGGCAAGCACAGGAGAGATTGCAGCGTCTCTCTCCCTCTCGGGATCCCTGGCCTTGGTAGTGTGGGGTCCCTATTCCCTAGATTCCTCTACTGCTGGGGTCTCTAAAAGAAGCCAAGGACAAATTGGGAAAGGAGAGTGGGGGAAGGGGAGCCTTAGGGTTTTCTCCCGGGTTTGTGCGCCGCGCCCCCCCGCGGCCGGTCCGCGCGACTGCAGAAGTACTTGGTGACCCGGCGGCGGCACTGCTCGCAGCGGACCGCGCAGCACCAGTGGAACTTGCAGTTGCAGCTGGACACGGTCTCGGCGCGGCGCTCCTCCACCGCTAGCCCACAGTCCCCGCAGAGCCGACGGCAGCTTCGGCGCTCCCAGCGGCCCAGAGACCGGCCGCGCCGCAGGCACTCTCTGCCTTCTGTGCCCAGCAGTCCTAACGTTTTGTTCTCCAGGCAGTAGTCTGGGGAGTCCTCCAGGTGCACCAGCTCCCTCGTGGAGATGGAGCGAAAGGTGTCTGCGATGGCGCCGCGGCCCGCCGCGCTGTTGCCAGCACCCTGCAGCAGGTCCACCTTGAGAGCTGCGTGGTACTTCTCTTTCAGGTGCGCGCCCACCTCTCGGAACTCAGGCAGCTGCAGCCAGCAGGTCTGCGTGGTGCAGCTGCCAGACACGCCGTGGCACTTACACGTGCGTTTCATGGTGCCCTTCACCGCCTGGGAAGAGAGCTAGGAGTGAGCGGGCCAGGGATTAAGCGCCTGGGGAGTGTCACCCTCTGGCGGATTGCGAGGATTCTAGCTAGTCTACGTGCCAGCCGCCTCGATGCCGCATTTTCCCAGTCTGATGAATGAATTGAACAGCCGTCCGCACCTAGGGCTGGTAGTGGATGGAGCCAGCTGCCTGACCCCCGGAGCTGCAGGACTCACCTTGCGGCCAGCCTCGTTGTTGTGCAGGTTCATGGCTGCCCGAGCATCCTGTCCTGTCTCCAGGGCATCGACGAACTGCTTGGATATTGCCTCTCCGAAGCCCACGTTGTCGCTGCAGCCTCCCCATAGCCAGCCTTGGCCCCCTGGAAAAAAGGCAGTGGGAAGAAAGGACGGCCTGGAGCCTCCCGGGCTGCTGGTTCTAAGTGGGTTTGGGGGATCTGAGGTGGGGAAGGGTTCAGGTGGGGCGAGTGCCCTGTCTCCAAATTAGTTTCACCGTAGATTTGTTTTTGCCACCTTTGTGCTCCTACTTCCAGCTTCAGCCAATCCCACGTACCAGGACATAAGTAGCTGCCAAGTGAGGCAGGTGCCTGCTCACCCTGTTACTATGTTTCTGGCCTTTGGGCAGAGTATGCAGACCTCCGCCAGCGACTGACGTCTGGAAGGGACATGATGGTGCAAAAAAGGTGAGGAAAGCACAGCATTGAGGGGGAGAGAGAATGGCAATTGAGATAATATGGAACAGCAGTTGGCAGTTGAGCTGCAGGGCAGAGGGTTGGAAAGGATAGTGGAGGTAAACAGTGGAAAGGAGACAGGGATAAGCAGCATGGAAGGGCGTTCCCCTATGTTTGAGACAGTAATAGGAATGATTCTGAAGGCAGGTTCTTCCTTTATCATTATTGTGTTTAAGTTAAGGAAATCACCCAGTCAGAGAAGGGTCCCCAGCTACATTTAGCCTGGTTTGTCACTGTAGGGTTTGGGCTCAAACTGGTTCGCCCTGATTTTCCTCAGATTTAGAAAAATACAACTCTTGTTCACCCCACCAAGTACCCACCAAGCTTTTCATTACTTAAGTGAACTTCATTGGGCTGCCCTATCCACCCTCAAGATCACTACTCACCCAGTTGCCCATTGCGGGAGTCATCACAGCCACAGTTGTCAAAATCCCCAAGGCTGCAGTTTCTGGTCAGAGTGTACATAACCCCGGCAGAACTGATGGCATGTACAAATGCTGTCTCCCGATTAGCTGACAGGAACCAAAAATTGAGTGAGTTAGAGGGAGGAGTTACAGCCCAAAGACATACCTTTAATACCATCATTATACCCGCCTCTCCCTGCTCCATTCTATTTCCCCACCTTTATAATGTACCTTACTCTCTTCCAGGGTCTGCTCTAGCCCTGGTCTCAGCCCTGCTCTTCTTCCTTCCCATCTTTTCAGGTCACACATTTTATGACTGAGTGGCTAGATTATTTGATATGGGTGAGATTTAGGTGGGAAAGAGCCCAAGAAAGAAATGGGGGAGAATCTGAATGTCAGGTTGTAAAGAACCCATCCCCACTTCCTCCTGGAACATTGGAGTCTGAGAGGCAGGTGCTAGCTAGTCCTGAAAAGAACCACTGATTGGCAGCTCTTTCATTTCCTTGCATGGCCGCTTTTTATCTTCTCCATGGGAATCCGGGCTCCAAGTCAGTTCCCACTTGCCCTGTACCTCTCTGCTAAGCCTGATGAAGGAAGGTTCTAAGAGGCATGAAGATTTACAACCCTTACCTACCTTATTTATATTTTGAGGAAGCCTTTAGCCAGCTGGGAGACTGAGGGTGGTATAGGATTGGGGATGAGGCAAGGTCCATTTGTTGAGCAGTGAGGGTGTTGGGGAAGAAAGAAAAAAGCTCTATAGGTAGGAAAGAGGAGCTGGAGAAGGAACAGAGAAGATGCTGGAGAGGGAGATGACCTGAGAGCAGAGACCAGCTGAGGAACAAGGGTGTAGAGGAGGCAGGGGGCCATCCCTGGAGAGTGGGGCTCTAACCTGTGGCCAGGGGGTCCAGGGAGCTGTGGCCGAGGCTTTCCTTACCACTGCGAAGGCCGCCATGGCTGGACAGCTGCAGGGCTCTCTCAGGGCAGTTCCAGCGGTCCCAGGCAAACTGGTATTTGCATTCTTCAATACCACTCTGGGCACCAGCTGCCACGCTGCTGGAGTAGATCAAGTAAGCCTGCAGGGACACAGGGATCAAACTTCAGACTCACAGCAACTGAACTTGGGAGGCATTTGCACTAAAGTGGCCAAGCACCTCTTTTCCTGTGCACTCCCATCCCTCCAAAATAATGACAGAGTAAGCACTTTAAATATGCTTTTAACATCACAAATAACATCACAGATAAACTTAGGTAGAAACCTAAGCCTCAGAGAGGTGATGTAAAACAGTTTGCCCAAATGTTTGAAGTAGGAATGAAAATCAATTTCATTAGACTCTAGACCTCACTGCCTCTATTCATTATACTATTCTGTCACTCCAAAATGAGCCTCAATTACATAATTCATGAATTTTCAGACATTTTCATCCTACTACTAGCTTAGAAGAGAACATTTTGTAAGCTGGAAATGTCCTTAGAGGTCATGTAGTACAATGCCAGCACTTTAAAGATGGAAGACAGCCTCCCACCCTGCGCTAAGAAGGATGGGTGACTGTAGCCTGACACTGCGAAAGAAAACTTTTTCTGGTTCTGGAAATTCTGGCCATAAATTCAAAGTCAGTATTCCTGAGTTCTTGTCCTGTCTCTGACACTAGTTTGCTGTGTGGTTTGGGGTGTGTCCGTAACCATTTCTGTGCCACAGTTTTTCTGCCTATAGTATATACAGCATAATAAAAGATATAATAAAAGATATTGACATGTGTAGTCTTCAATCAAGAAGCTGAGTGAAATCCAAATAAATCAAAGGAATTTTTTTTCTTACCTTTGGACCAGTCATCAGGAAATTGTTCACTGACCTGGAAGAGAGAAAAACCACAGAACATAATAGAGATACACCAATTCATTTCTGCTGCCAAGAGTTGTGAGAATTACTTCAGCAAATATGCAGGCACACCTCAGAGATATTACTGGTTTGGTTTCAGACCACTGCAGTAAAGTGAATATCACAATAAAGCCAGTCACGTGAATGTTTTGGTTTCCCAGTGCATATAAAAGTTATGTTTACACTATACTGTAGTCTTTTAAGTATGCAATAGCATCATGTCTAAAAAAATACAATGTTAAGTGCCTTAATTAAAAAATACTTTATTATTAAAAGTGTTGTCACCTGAGCCTTCAGCGAGTTGTAATCTCTTTGCTGACAGAGGGTTTTGCATCAATGTTATGCTGCTGACTGACCAGGGAGGTGGTTGCTGAAGGTTGGGGTTGCTGTGGCGATTTCTTAAACTAAGAGTAAATTTTGCCGAATTGATTGGCTCTTCCTTTCATGAATGATTCCTCTGTAGTAGGCAATGCTGTTTGATAGCATTTTGCCGACAGTAGAACTTCCTTCAAAACTGGAGCCGATCCTCTCAAACAGTGCCACTGCTTTATCAACTAATTTATGTAATAGTCTAAGTCCTTTGTTGTCATATCAACAATATTTACAGCCTCTTTACTATGGGTAGATTTCATCTCAAGAAACCACTTTCTTTGCTCATCCATAAGAAGCAACTTCTCATCCATTCAAGTTTTACCATGAGGTTGCAGCAATTCAGTCACATCTTCAGGCTCCACTTCTAATGCTAGTTCTCTTGCTCTTTCCACCACATCTGCAGTTACTTCCTCCACTGAAGTCTTGAACTCTACAAAGTCATCCATGAAGATTGGAATCAACTTCTTCCAAACCACTGTTAATGTTGATCTTTTGACCTCTTCCCATGAATCATGCATGTTCTTAATTATCTAGAATGGTGAGTCCTTTTCGGAAGGTTCTCAATTAACTTTGCACAGATCCATCACAGGAATCTATCTATGGCAACTATAGCCTTATAAGATGTATTTCTTAAGTAGTAAGACTTGAAAGTGAAAATTACTCCTTGATTTATGGGCTGCAGGGTGGATGTTGTGTTAGCAGACATGAAAACAACATTAATCTCACTGTACGTCTCCATCAGAGCTCTCAGGTAACCAGGTGCATTGTCAATGAGCAGTCATATTTTGAAAGGAATCTTTTTTTTCCCTGAGCAGTAGGTCTCAACAGTGGGCTTAAAATATTCAGTAAACCGTGTTGTAAACAGATGTGCTGTCATACGGGCTTTGTTATTTCATTTATAGAGCACAGGCAGAGCAGATTTAGCATAATTCTTAAGGCCCCTAGGATTTTCAAAATGGTAAATGAACATTTGCTCCAATCTAAAGTCACTAGCTGACTTAGTCCCTAAAAGAGAGTCAGCCTGTCCTTTGAAGCTTTGAAGCCAGGCATTGACTTCTCTCTAGGTATGAAAGTCCTAGATGGCATCTTCTTCCAGTAGAAGGCTGCTTCATCTACACTGAAAATCTGTTGTTTAGTTTCGCCTCCTTCATTAATTATCTTGGCTAGATCTGGAATCTGGATAACTTGCTGCAGCTTTTATATCAGCATTTGCTGTTTCCCCTTGCATTTTTATGTTATGGAGATGGCTTCTTTCCTTAAGCCTCATGAACCAACCTCTGCTAGCTTCAAACTTTTCTTCTGCAGCTTTTTCATCTCTCTCAGGCTTCATAGAATTGAAGAGAGTTAGGGCCTTGCTCTGGGTTAGGCTTTGGCTTAAGGGAACGTTGTGGTTGGTTTGATTTTCTATCCAGACCACTAAAACTTTCTCTGTATCAGCAATAAGGCTGTTTCACTTATCATTCTTGTGTTCGCTGGAGTAGCACTTTAAATTTCCTTCAAGAACTTTTCCTTTGCATTCACAATGCAGCTAACTGTTTGGGGAAGAGGGCTAGCTTCCGGCCTATCTTGGCTTTTGACATGTTTTCCTCACTAAGCTTAATAATTTCTTGCTTTCTTGATTGAAAGTGACTCTTGTTTTCATTTGAACACTTAGAGGTCATGGTGGGGTTATTAATTGGCCTAATTCCAATATTGTTGTGTCTCAGAGAATAGGGAGGCCCAAGGAGAGGGAGAGAGATGGGAATGGCTGGTGGGTGGAGCAGTCAGAACCCACACATTTATTGATTGTTTGCCATCTTATCTGGGCATTGTTTGTGGTGCCCCCAAATAATTACAATAGTAACATCAATTTTTTTTTTTTGGCCGTGCTACACAGCTTGCAGGATCTTAGGTCCCCTACCAGGGATTGAACCCAGGCCCATGGCATTGAAAGCGATGAGTCCCAGTCACTGGACCGCTAGGGAATTCCCACATCAAAGATCACCATGACAAATATAAAAGTAATGAAAAGATTTGAAATATTGCAAGAATTACCAAAATGTGACACAGAAACACTAAGTGAGCAACTGTAGTTGGAAAAATGGCACCAATAGATTTGCTCAATCCAGGGTTGTCATAAACCTTCAAATTGTAAAAAACACAAGATCTGTGAAGCACAATAAAGCAAGTCTGTAATTGAGAGGAAGAAAGGGAAAATGGTTTTTCCAAGGAAAAATTTTGCATAAGGAATCTACTTAATTTAGTTAAAAAAAAAAAAGAACATGTACAAAAGGAGCTAGTATTATGCTTTGCTTGGATTTTTAAAATTTCAAATACCAAAAATGTCAGGAGTAATGTTTGATCGTTATTTTGCCGTGGAGTGGGAATAGAGCTAGCATTAACTTGCTACTGTCTACTCTCAGTATTTTACATGCTGATGTTGTTAAATCCTTACTATCTTGGGCATTGTTATCCCTAGTTTTCAAATAGGGAATCTGAGACTCAAAAAAGTTAAATATATTGTTCAAGCTCACCCAGTTAATTAATGATTGAAGCAAGATCTGAATCCAAGTCCATCTGACTCCACAGGACTCTGAGAAGGATAGTTCTCTAATCAGAAAGAGGTAAACAGTGGAATAACTTTCTAGGGATTGAATCATAATTAAATTCCAAAAATAAATAATCTGACTCTGGAAAATAGTTTGGCTGTTCCTTTCAAAACTAAAAATGGACTTGCCACACTACTTAGCAGTTCCACTGTTGGGCATTTATCCCAGAGAAATGAAGACTTATTTTTACTCAGGAACTTGTTTTCAGATGCTCATAGCAACTTTATTAGAATAACCCAAAATTGGAAACTACCCAGATGTCCTTCAAAGGGTGACTGGTTAAAAAAATTGTGGTACATCCATACCATGGAGTGCTACTCAGCAACAAAAAGGTATGAACTGTTGATACACACAAAAACTTGGATGAACCTCAAGGAAATTAAACTGAGTAATCAAAGCCAATCTCAAAAGGATACATACTGCATGATTTCATTTATGTAGCAATGGTTAAATATGTAATTATGGAGCTAAAGACTAGATTAATGGTTACCAGAGGTTAGGGATAGGGGATGGATACCACTATAAAGTGATAACACCAGACAGTCTTGCGGTTATGGTAAAGCGTCTTGATTGTGGTATGGTTTTGCAAAGCTATACATGTGGCAAAATTGCATCGAGCTATACACCTACATACATATATACATACACACACACAAATAAGTGTATGTGAAACTGGTTGAAGTCTGAATAAGCTTCATGGATATTGTACTATAGCTGTAAGATGTTAACACTGGGGGAGGCTGGGGAAAGGGTGTGTGGGACTTCCCTGCATGTTTCTTTGCAACCTTCTGCAAATCTATAATTATACAAAACCTAAAAATATACATACAGGGGCTTCCCTGGTGGCGCAGCGGCTGAGAGTCCGCCTGCCGATGCAGGGGACGTGGGTTCGTGCCCCGGTCTGGGAAGGTCCCACATGCTGCGGAGTGGCTGGGCCCGTGAGCCGTGGCCGCTGAGCCTGCGCGTCCGGAGCCTGGGCTCCGCAACGGGAGAGGCCACAACGGTGA